GAATATTCATAGTCACTTTTACGATAAACTTCTGAATACTGGAAAGAATTTGATTCAGTCTAGCATCACACTGAATCAGCAAACCCAAAGGTACCACGGTTTTGACCTGGGCCGTTTTATATCTTGCTGCGGGCCTCGAAAAGTTTGGAATCCGAGTTGGTTTTGATCAACTTGTTTAAAGTAATTGCCATTTCATCTTTTGGAGTGTATTTCGTGGAATGAATGATCACAAAATGTTTGTTTTACATTATTTACTGGTGTCTGTGTTTGTGTGAAGCTTATCGTAAAGTTTTTTAATTTTTCTACCAGGCCAGGGTTTACCCCACTCATCAGTTCTCGTTGCTGCACTTATCCTCAGACAAGTTCAACAAGAAAAATTTGGAAATATGGCAAGAATATCCAAAGTTACAGTGAGAAACACTCAATACTTATTTTAGTTTTGTTCTGTTAATATGTTTTTTCGTTATTGTTTCTTTCCTTAGAGTTTACCTCACCCATGGTTCCTAAGTGAAGACTCACATGTGAACATGATAGGCGTAATGGAACATTTTCATAAATTCATGCAACCTGGAGATTACATCTGCATCGAAGATACAAACCCGACGGTACCAGAAAAGGCTGGACAGGGACTTATCAAGGAGCTGGGATACACAATGAGTGGAAGCTCAAAACTGAACGACCTCAAAAGATTTCTGATGGACCATCCAGGCAAATACGTGGTCGATCAAAAATATACCGATTTTTATGGGTAAGAGGTCGCTGAGTGATTTTATCAAATAAAATTAGAAAAATTCAACTTAAGTCCCTTACTCCCCTTTTAACCTGATATTGATAAGTAAATCCGACTTTGCGTTTTTATTCTTGCAGATACAATGTCACTTTCAACACCAACGGCTTCTTAAAACGGGTCTAGGTCTACGGACAATTTAAATCGAGGATTCAAAGCTGAAGGCAATGTGAATTGTAGCCTTGAATAAGGCATTAAACTCAGTTCCGAGAAAATATTAACCTTTTTTTTCAGTGATCATTGGGCGTATTTAGAGGGGAATAGTGACTCTCGTTTTCTAGGACCTGCCTCAAAGAACGAACTCCCAATGAAAGCTTCTTCTACTTCATTTTAATCGTCGTTTTTCTTTATCGTTTCTGTCGTCCTCGAATAGCAATACACCGTAACAGCACAACAATATGAAATTGAGATAGTAGAGCTCGAAGCTGAGATTTGTAAACGTATTAATGTCAGTTGAGCACGGTAAAAAAAGACAAAAAAGAACATAAAACATCAGGTGCGGATTTTAAAATGCGAAAGAAAAAATCCCAAACTTTTATAAGAAATATTATTTTTGAGAAGTAGTAGTTACACTGGAAAGTGAAAGTGGAGTTTTGCAATAATTGACAGTACTGTGACCACGAACTATTAGAATTCCAAGCAGTCAATAGAATCTCTAAAGTTTGTTAAATAAAGTGGGTACGCCCTAAATGTCATGGAAAATACCGCTGCACATCACGACATCCAACACCAAGGGTTGGAACTATTTTCAGATCCAAACATTCCGTAACATCCGTAAACCTTGAAGAATGTAGACATCCAACCTCGGGCGGGAAGATGAGAGACCCTGGGAACAAGGTTGGTTGGTAGACACCTCCTAAGACGTGCGTAATCGTGCCTTTTCTTATCTCGATTGCGCTTTTTACAGTTGTTTACGTCGCCAACAGAGTATTAACTACTGAAATGAATTTCATCTAGCTGGACATTCCTTCATTGCACTGTACTTATTCAGGCTATTCTCATTTGGAAGAGAAATTAGATCTGCTTTTCTAGGTATGCGACAACTCGCTTTCTCTTTGATTAACTGACTTAAGAATTGATTAATGTATAGTGTGAGTACATCGAGGCTCGGACTCTAACTTCGTGAATATCGAACTGTCCCCAGCTCTGAAGCTAATTCTATCGCCTTTCAGAATTAAATGTCCATTGTTTTCCGAATAAAGTATTATTTCGCAGATATAGTTTTCAGTATTGAAGCTCGCAGCTAAACTGTACGGATACTTTGCAGCAAAATGCAACCACAAAAGTCGTGTTATGCGGGATGTACGGTCTTGCAAACATGGAAACTCATTACATGATGGCTCAATCGGAATTAGATAGTATAAAGGCGTGCGTTTAATGAATGCACGCGTTAAGCTTTCACACTAAAAAGTGAATTAATCAAGAGACTGGGACCAGTAACGTGATGTCCTCTTTAGCCTTGTCGGTGGACAAAAAATAATTACTTGCAGACGTCAGAAAATTGTCATCCGAAGTTAATTCACGAGCTTAAGATTGTGGTTGGTGAAGAACAGTGTTCATTTGTTGTGAAGCATCTTGGAAAGAGCGATTAGTCAGCAGTTCCAAGCGAAATTCTTCGCATGTAAACAGTTCAGCCGATCGCTTTGAGACACTCACGGAAGGGGGATTTTTCCACTAGTTTGGATTTCGCGTTGGATTTCTCTTTCAGTAAATAGCCCACATGATTTTGTAACTTTTTTCATGACAATATCTTGATTTTTTTGTAACGAGCATAAGGTCTATCATTCCAGACACTCATTATGAATTAAGCGGAAACTAGAAGTCCTGAATTTGTCATCCCTTCTCTTCTCCTAACATAAATATGTATGCAGCAAGCACCTCAGTAAGGCGGGCGTAGAGAAACCAGAGCAAGTATTATCCTAACCCAGAGTGCAGATAATAGAATACATATCAAGACATGTTTTTCAACTGTTATAAACCTTTATTGTTTTGAGATTGTATAGACTTCCCTCTACCTCATGGCCCAATTAAAGAGCAGTATCATCTCCCAATTTAAATGAAGTCATCTAATGTAAAAAAAGGAAAGATACTTAAAATACACACCGCTACAAAAGAAAACATTTTAACTAGAAAAATATAAGGAGATATTAAGAAATGCTGACCTTGACGAATACCAGGAACTCAGCAGCCCTATAGGTATTCCCTCCCAATTTTATACTCATGGGTGGCCAATTAATAACTTCATTTCCAAGAAATCACACACGATGTAAATAAACAGGAATGAAAAAGTGCTCATCACAAGATTAGGGAAATACCCGAGTCATCGACCAATGAACATGCAGGTAGTCCCATGTGAGATGGGATACCCAGTATATCACGTGGGATGTGGGTATCCCCTTAAATTTCAGGCTAAGAGTACACAAACGTTAATTCCTTTTTTTTTTCTCCCAATTACACAATGGCACTCTGCTCTATATAAGGGACCGGTCATTTATTAGAGGGGG